AACCTAAGTCAAATTCTGTTTCTTTTCTGCTCAGAGCTCTTCAGTGGCTCCCGTCTCACCCAGAATAAAAACTTAAGCCCTTACAATAGCTTTCAGGTCTTAAGTGTCATGGGGCCCTCCACCCCCACTCTATTAGCTCATCTCCAACTTTTCTCCCCCTGGCTAACTCCATTCCACCCACATAGGCCTCCCAGCTGTTACTCTGAGAGGCCAGACATCAGTCTGCCTAGGAGCCTGTGTGTCTTCCCCAGAAATCTGCATAGTTCTCATCATAGCTCACTCTGCTCAAATGTCACCTCAGGGAGGCCTTCCCTGACTCCCTATTTAAATAAAAATCTCTTGCCATTGCCTCCTGCCCCAGCTGAGGCATTCTCCATTGCTCTGAACTGTTTGGTTTTCTTCCACAGCACTCGTCAGCTGACTTACGTTTTACTTTTGACTCTCCCCACGAACATGAAAGCTCCACAAGACTGACATATTTCTGTCTTATGCTGTCCACTGCGATATGACCCCCATATCTAAAACAACTTGGTCTACAGAAGGTGCTTCATAAATAATTATCCAATGAATGAATGAATAAATAAATAAATCTACCTACTCTTGAATCTGTAAGTCCTATCCCTGTACTATACCTGACTCCAGCTCTGTGTCTGATCCCTAACTGCTCTGTGGATGCCGCCCCTTGACTATCCCAAAGTCATATCAAATCTGGACATGCCATCTAGACATATCACCTTCTCAAGATGCCCCTCTCTGGTTTCCCATTTCAGTGACAACAGCACTATATCCCTCAGTCTCCCAGGTCAGAGAACCCTGTTCCTCGTTCTGTCCCCTCTGGTTCTCTTGGCCCCATGTCCTGTGCCTTCTGCTTTCAGTCTCTCTGCTCCCATTACAACTGAGGTACAGAATGGTATGTGATTCTCCTGGGGTCACAGAACATTTTCCTGGGATCGTAAGAGAGCCAAGCAGAATCATCACTCAGTAAAACACAAATCCCTCCCTTTACACAAACATCTACATGTTGACAGAGCACTTCTGCAGACATTATGTCACCTAATTATCACAATAACCCTGGGCTTGAATCTCATTTTTCCCAACGGACAGTTGAGAAAACAGGTTCAGAGAAGTGAAACAATTTGCCTGAGGTCATAGAGTAAGAGGTAGCTGGGGCATTGAACCCAAGTCCCCAGACTAAATTGTCAGCACCCTGTATCTCCCTCAGTTGAAAAAATGTGATCTAGACAAGCTGTCTAAGCTCCCTGGGCCTCCATTTCTCACCTGTAAAATGGGGATAATAATAGACTCTGAGTCATGGGGTATTTATGAGGATACAATGCATACACCCAAATATGGTGTTTCGAATGATGACCAGCAGTTGGTACACTGAATAAATGTTAGCTATCACTATTATTACTATGTTAGAAACTTATGAAACCTCTGAACTCCTAAAAACATTCAGAAAATCTTATAGGTCTGTATATTTTTTCCTAGAAAGAGAATCTTCAGTTTCTCTCCTATTCTCAAAAGGATTTGTGACCTAAATTTTTTTCAGAAATATTGGGCAAGAGAGAGACCAAGAATATATTCCGTATCAAACACAATCATGTAAGCCTTGAGCCTAATATCCCCCTACCCCAAACACCTCAAAAGCAAGAAATAAGGCCCAAATCAAGAAAACCAGTGTGAGAACGCAAAGCAGTATGACAGAGCAATTAAGAGCACCAACACTCAGTTGTGGATTCAAGTGTCAGCACTGCCATTTATTATTGGTGATAAAGGCCCCTACATCACACTGCCCTGGTAAAGAGCAAGATCATGCGGGTGAAACACCAAGGCCAGTACCTGGCAAAGAGCAGATGCTTAAAACACACTTAGCTGCCCTGGCCGGCTTTGCTCAGTGGTTAGAACATTGGCCCACAGATCAAAGAGTCTTGGGTTCGATTCCAGTCAAGGGCACATACCTCAGTTGCGATTCTTGTGGTTCAGCCCTGGCCCTGGTCGGATCATGAGGGAGGCAACCAGTCTATGAGTCTCTCTCACATATGTTTCTCTCTCTCTCTCTCTGCCTCCCACTCTGCCTGATGATAAATGTAAAAATATCCTCGGGTGAGGATTAAAAAAATAAAATAAAAAAACACACTTAGCTCTCTTCTCCCACCAGTTTCTGTTCCCTGACGGGAATAGCCTGTCTGGAATACTGTAATCATCTCAGGTCAAACCACCCTTTTCTGTTTGCCTCCCTCCATTTCACAGGGCTGTGGTGCAGATAAGGCTGTGGTGCATACTCAAAAATAACCAGGCCAGCATTGCAGAAATGGTAGTTTAGACTGGCCACTTTGCCTCTCCCCTCCCTAAACTTCAGTTTCCCAATCTTTAAAATGGGATTGATTGGCTTATATGATCTCCTGAGATAGCCCTGAGCAAGTCCGACTTTAGAAAGCAGGATACAGCCTGGCCAGTGTGGTTCAGTGGATTGGGCATGGTCCCATAGACTGAGAGGTCCCAGCTGGATTCCCAGTCAGGGTACATGCCTGGGTTTTGGGCTCAATCCCCAGTGGGGGGTGTACAGAAGGCAGCCGATTGATGTTTCTCTCTCACATCAATGTTTCTATTTCTCTCTCCCTTCCTCTGTCTAAAAATAAATAAATAAAATCTATTTTTAAAAAAAGAAATCAACGGTTGCAGTTTGTCCCCTGCCCTGGTTGAGTCGTGAGGGTGGCAACCACTTGATGTGTCCCTTTCACGTCGATGGTTCTTTCTCTCTCTCCCACTCTATCTGAACAAAATATCGAGAAAAAAAATGTCCTTGAATGAGGATAAAAAAAAGAAAAAGCAGGATACATAGTTATAATTCACTCTCTTCCAGCTGAGGAAACTGAGACCCAGAAAGTAGAAGGAACCTACCCAGCCACATGCTAATTCCAATGGTCATTCCTGGCCTAGTCCTTGGATCACCTTTCTTCTCTGCTAAGGGGCACAGCAATCACACTGCCCATTTTCCAGGTAAGGAAGCTGAGATCCAGAGGGAAAATGCCTCACCCAATGCCAGTTGATTCAAGAACAGAGTCTGGGTCTCCAGACTCCTCCTAAGAAGGAAGTAGGGGAAGGGCAGGATCACCTGGAGCACCACAGAGATGGTCTTCTCGCCTGCCTTGGCTGCCCGCCATTTTCGGTAAGTGTCCGCCTTGAGAAGGTTTTCTGCACAGTGGGTCTGGAGATAAGAATGGGAAAGGAAAAGTTAGGGTACCGAGATGACAGGTTCCCCCAGCTCTCGGATTATTCCTTTGAGTCCTCCCAAACCCTCTGCGATCCCCAGCTTTAAGTGTCCCTGTTAATTCACACACACACACACACACACACACACACACACACACACACTTTGCCTTGAGTCACCTACAACACTTTCCCCTGGAAATTCATCTATGAGTTCTCCAAGGAAGCTTCCCATTCCTCCTTTCTCTCCGGAACTTCCACAGACGCCCGGAAGTCCCCCCATTTCGCATCTCTCTCAGAATTCCTTTATAACCTCCTGGAAATTCCCCCCATGACCCTCCTTAGACTTCCATGAAGTTTACACTGCAGAAGTTCTCGTGGAGCCCCCTCAGGAATTCCTTTATGTCTTCCAACCTCCCTCACCCCAGTCCCTCACCGAGTCCTGGCTACTGCAGGACACCACGTGGCGGAGGCGGATCTCCGGCATGTCAACGTCGTGGGCTTCGCGGGACCCGAAGGATGAAGGAGGGTCCGAGTTTGAGGGACGGGAAGGGGGTGCGCCCTGCGCGCGCTCAAGTGCGCAAGCGCGCGAGACTCGGGCCTTTCAAACCGCGGCGCGCCGGAGCTCGCGTCGACTGGGCGCATGCCCAGTCGAGCCTCTCGGGAGCAGCGTGGAGCTGAGTTCCCTAGCAACGAGCTTTTCCTCTAGGCCCGCCTCTCTCTGGCCCTATCACTCTCTAGCCCCTCCTCCCGGTGATGGCCACATCCCGCTTTCCAGGCGCCTAGCAACAGGAGCGGCCTACAGGATTGGTCCCTAGAAGAAGTTAGTCATTCTCATTGGACAACGCAGTCACCGCCCAAAATGAAGCCTAGAAACCTGGAGGACGGCAAACCTGAGTGGACTTTTGCGGGGAGCCTGGAGCCTACCGCAGAAGGATCCTCTCCACTGGTTCTGCAACTACACTCTTCCCCCGCTAGCTTCTCACCACACACACTGGAAAAAAATCTCAGCTATCTCTCAGGGTTATGCCTGAGGCCAGGAGAGAGTGGGTCAAGAATCTAAATAAAACACAAAGCACGAGCCCAAACCAGACACACACACCCAGCCTAGAGCGCTTCCACCCATGCCTCAGTTTCCCAGTGTGACCTGTGGGCATCTGTTTCCTACCACGCCCGTCCTTGCCCATTGACAGGCAACCTCTCTGTTCGGTCCCCGCGAGACCCAGAGGTACAGCCCCAGGCGGGTAGGGACTGGAGACAGCTCGAACACAAAACAGAGAATATGAACCAAGCCCGTGAAGAAGGGAAGGGAGACAAGGCTCCTGGGCCCCCGCAGAACAAGCCTGGACATGCTGGGCGCTCCCAGGTAAGGCCCCACCCACGCAGGATGCCTCCTTGAGAAGAGAGAGAAGGGAGCGGGCATCTCAGTCCTTGCAGCCGCTCTACACCTACAGGGAATGAAGTGACCCGACTTTGACCTTGGGCTTCAAGCCAGAAAATAAAAAGGGGAGGAGAATGTGAGAAAACAGGAAAGTGCCCCTCTGGGTACTGATCAAAGAGGGGGCTGGAGACCCAGACTCCTGGGGTCCCTGTGGAGGAGGGGGCTGGGCACAAGTCGCCCATGTTCCTTTTGTTTTCTGGTCCCACCTCCCCAACCCGAAGCCGCAGAGGCCAGCCCTGAGATCTTACCTCAACTATTTCTCACCCCAGGGTGAAGGTGGGTCCAGACCCGCCCCTCCTCAGCTTCCTATAAGTGCTGGGAACCAGGGACTGCTGGGTCACACACCATGAAGCCCTCCATGCCACCGAGTACCTTCCTGCTGGCTTTCACACTGCTCTGCACCCTGCTGGGTCTTGGTAAGTGACCAGAGGCTTGGACTCCAGGGATCCTCAGGAAAGAGAGGACCAGGAGAGAGCATTCAGTAAGGTCTTCCAGAGGGCAAGAGGTGGTGTCCTGGGAATTCAGGTTTATGTCGAAGGCAGAGGCTAAAGAAAGAGAAAGATTGGGGCCCCAAGAGAGGAAAAGGTCTAAAGGCTCTTGTGATTGGATCTCTGAGAAAGGAAGGGGCATGGTGGGCTCTGAGTCCTTTGTCCCTCAGGAGGGGGTCTCAAAATAAGACATTTAAATGCTAGAAAATCAGATGAGATCGCGATGAAAAAGGGAAATTAAAAATAAAAACAAAAAAACTGGAGGGAGCCCGGCTGATGTGGCTCAGTGGTTGGGTGTCGAACCATGTACCAGGAGGTCGTTGGTTCGATTCCCGGTCAGGGCAAATGCCCAGGTTGAGGGCCCGATTCCCAATGGAGGGCATCCAGGAGGCGGCCAATTGATGTTCTCTCTCATCAGTGTTTCTATCTCTCCCTCACCCTTCCTCTCTCTCTAAAATCAATAAAGAAAAACAATTTTAAAAAAACTGAGAGGAGCCCTGGCCGGTTTGGCTCAGCGGTTAGAGCGTCGGCCTGCGGTCCGGAGAGACCCGGGTTCGGTCCCCGCTAAGGGCACATACCATGGTTGCAGTTTGTCCCCAGCCCTGGTCGGTTGTGCGGGTGGCAACCACTCGATGTGTTCCTTTCACATCGATGTTTCTCTCTCTCTCTCTCTCTGTTCCTCTCCCTCCCTCCCACTCTACCTGAACAAAAAATGGAAAAATGTCCTCGGGTGAGGATAAATAAATAAATAAATAAATAAACTGAGAGGAGAGGGGGAGATTTCTTTTTTTCCTGGACTCTAGGGAGATCAAGCCCCTAGCCCCTCCTTCTTAAGGCAGGAGTTCAGGCAAGCCCCACCTTTCCCAGGTCCCAGGGGTCTGGGCCCCCAGCTGCCCCTCTCTCAGAATCAAGGAGCCCATGCCTTCAGCCCTCCTGGTCCTCACTCTCCCTTCTTGAACTGGGATGCAGACCTCAGATTCAGGTACCCCTGCCTGAGCTTCTACTCTAAGACCTACACATGGTTCCTAGCAGAAGGAGGATCCCACATCCAAGAACCAGCTGGACCTGAAGCTTCACAAAAGTCCATGGAAACCTCCAGGACCCCCCCTCCCTGTCCCCGAGCTTTCTTAGAGGACCCTAGCGTCTAAAGTCCCCAACCTTGTAATTAGGTAAACAGGCTCCGTGGTGGAGTCGCTTCCCGCCCCAGGAAGCAGCTTCGCTGGCATCACTAGCGCGTCCCTGTCAGCGCGCTGGACAGTTCCCAGACAGCGGTCAATGCCCCACCCAAGAACAGGGAGACGCCGTCCCACCTTCCTCAGACCCAAAAGCCCGTCCCTTCCCCCGACCGCATCTGCGTGGTCCCTAGACCACACCACCCTGGACTACAGCCTGGCCCTCTGCACTGCAGGGTGCCCGTTAAGCTGCGAGGTGTGTAGGGGCTCCGGGCCCACGTGCAGCGGAAAAATGAAGACTTGCGAGGCCGGCAAGGACGCCTGCGTGGTCATCGTGGGGGAGTCGAGCACCAGTATGAGCGCGCGGCGTCAAACCCTGGGGAAGAGGGTTGCGAAGGGAGGGACCATCACGGTGGTGGGCGGGCAAGGGGGAGGAGAATATTGTCTCGAGGTGGATGAAGGCAAGTGAATTCAGTGGAGCTCTAGAAAGCATTGTTGTCAGGAATTTCTGAAAATGAGACTCTCCGAAGGGGGCGGGCAGGTAGAGGAGAAGAAAGAGGCTGGGGTGGGTTGGGAGGAATGTGATCAAGCTGGACACTGGGGGCAGGAGGGAAAGACAGACTACCCCAGGGATCGTGGGTGTAGTGCGGGCTGGAAGAGACTGTTCCTAACAAGAGAAGGAGAGATGATGTTGGGGTAGGAGGAGAGGAAAAAAGGGGACCACAGCAGAGAGGAGAGAGAAGATAATCCCGCAGCATGAAGTAGAGATGGGGCAATGGGGAGGCTGGTGAGTAGAATGGAAGAGGAAGGGATTACTTAAGTGGAAGGGACCATCCCAGACCTGAGAAAGAATGGGGGAAATGGAGAGCAATGGAAGAGACCACAGGGGTGAGGAGGGATGTGGGGCATGATGTAGAGATGAAGGTTGTGACAGCAAGTGAAGAACAACCTAAAGTATCGGAAGGAGCCATCCCGGCAGGAGGGGGTGTGTATGGAAGGTGGGGTAGAATACTGCAGGCCACCCTACTTACCTAGCCAGCATTGGCAGGTGGGGGAAGGACCTGAAAGGCTTGAAGAGACACCCACCACCTGATATAGGAGGGAGATACAGACGCTGGGGGGGGGGGGGTGCTGAGAGGAAAAAGCCATCCTTTGGTGGAGTGAAGAGCAGGAAACACTTGGATTGGGTTGGAAGAGACCACACGTGGGGAAGGGGAAGGCAGTGGAGCCTGGAAGAGACCACTTAAGGCAAAACCTGGGGGTAGCCAAAGAGAGTGCTGAGAGGCCATCAGTTGGAGGTCTGGGGAGTGACCATGGGGAAAACTGGAAGAGACCACTTAGACAGAGAGGGATATGGACATTGCAGGGTGGTGGTGTGGGCCAGCATCCCACAGTTTGTTGGAAGTAGGTCCCAAACCTGTGAAGGCTGGAAGAGAGTATCTTACACAGGCATAGGCAACCTGGGAAAGCACTATCCAGAGGACCTTTAGGGGGTGGCCATGGTGTGGGGGTGGGGTGGAAGGGACCGTATTAAGCAGACCTGGGCTTGGCAATGGAGAACATCACCAATGGCTGCCTAGGGGCTATAGCAGTGAGGTGGGGGGTAGGGAGAGCTACCTAATAAACCACTGTACCCTAGGCACAGAGGAGGTACAGCTTTAAGGGGGCTGGAAAAGCCCATCCTAGACAGTCATGAGGTGGGGAAGCTGTGGGGTTGGGAGAGACCCCAGGTGGGGGTCAACACCACCCAAACCCTCCCCTCCTGTCCCCCATCCTGCAGAGGGTCGCCACTCAGTGAACACCTACAAGGCCTGCATGAAGTTCAGCGACTGCTACTCAGGTTTTGTATCCACTACCATGGGCCCCAAGGACTACATGGTGTCCAACACATACTGCTGCCAGAGTGACGGCTGCAACCATGGCTCGGTGTCCCGTAAGTGCCAACTCAGCCGCGCCTGCGGAGTCCCTTCCAGCCGGCCCCCTGTGTGTGCCCTCACCCGCCACTGATCTGTGCGCTGTAACATTGGGCAAGCACCTTGCCGCTGAGTCTGTTTTCACTCCTGTAAATGTAGTGTCCATTAGCAATAGCCGTTATTGTGAGGTTGGGGGAAGGGTCTAAACATCTCTCTGCACCTTGTACTCCACCCTCTTCCCCAGCTCCCCAGAACAACCGTACTGAGAATGGCCTCCAGTGTCCTGCCTGCATCGTACCCTTCCATGAGACATGCCCTGGGACCGAGGCAGCCCGCTGTGTTGGCCAGGAAACCCACTGCATCTACTTCGCTGGCGATGTGCAGGCTGGTGAGGGCACCTGGATCTCTGGAGGAGGGCACAGGGGCCTCAGAACTGGAAGAGTCTCTAAGTTCTGGGGCAGATGGTGGTCCCGGAGAATTGGGTGAGGAGGTGGCAGGACCACGATTCCTAGGTCCTGAGGAAAGATGGGTTGGGGGCTCAGACTCCATTCTGGAATCCTCCTCCCAGGTATCATCAACACCAGGTTTGCCACTCGAGGCTGTGCTACAGAGAGTGCCTGCAACACCAAGCCTGGGGCCGAGGTGCCCTCAGCCTCCTATCTCTACTTCCTCCGCCGAGCAGACTGCCTTCCAGCCCCTCAGACCACAGGCAGGGCGGAGTGAAGAACTGAGAAATGTGTGCTTGAGGTCCCCATTTGTCCTCAGCCTGCAGCTGCCTGTGTGCCTATAAATGAAACAGATCAATGAACAAGCCTGAGTCTTTGTGACGTGATGCATCTTGAGGAGGTGTCGCAGTAAGCTGGGGGCTCAACCCTTGGGAACCTCCTCTTTGCAAGGAAAAGAGGGAAAAACTCTACCTTTTATTAAGGGATTACTCCTTGCTGGCCCCCTGTGCTAAATGTTTTCCATGCTGTACCTCATTTCATAATCACAGCAACTGTAAAGTTGGTATTATTATCCCCATTTCACAGATGAACAAACTGAGGCACAAACTGTGATGTTATTTGCCTTGGGTCAAACTGCTAGGGAGGATCAGATTCCAGAGTCCATGATCACAGATCACCTCTTCTGAGTAACCTTCCCCTCATTGTGCCTGTTTTCATGTTGGCAAAATGTGGATATTAATAGTTATAACCTCATAGAGTTGGAGGAGTGAAATGGAAAAAAAAAAAAAAAAAAGAACACATTTAGTGCAGTGCCCAGCACTTTTAAGACAGTGTTGCTTCTGGAGACCATATGTCTGAGTAAATAATAAATAGTAATAGCTGCCACTTACTGAATGGCCATTAGTCAAGACAGACTAGACTATGCTACAGTAACAAAGGAGCCCCTAATCTCAGTGGTTTAAAACAACAAAGCTGTATTAGTCAACCCGTGCAGTAATGCTGTGTGACAAAGGATCTCCAAACAGACTTATAACAACAAGCATTGTTAAAGGGTTTGTGGGTGGCTGGGTGGTTAATTTGGCTTCTGGTTAATTTGGCTCTAGTGTTGGGAGGAGGGCTCAAATTCTCCTCCTTGGGGTCCCACAATCTTCTAGGATCAGTGGCTCCCTGGCAGATCACAGGAGCACAAAAGCCAAGTGCACTGAAGGCCCTGCTGAGGTCAGTTCTGCTAACATTCCATCGAGTAAATCATAGTCAAAGCCCCACTCGGGGAGCAGGGAAATATCCTCCCCCTCCAGTGCGAGGGAGAAGAATGGTATTTGCTGAACAAGTACCCACTCACAAAAGGTCGAGTCTTCTTTCACCTACGTTTGGCACTGTCCACAGGTGTTTTGCTCATCATCATAAAGTAACCACCAACTGGAACATTGCCATTTCTGTGCACAGGAAAGAGCCCAGGAGTCTCACATGGGTGATCAAATGTGACTCAGAAGTGACTTGACACAAATCATCTCATGGAGCTGGTCATATGGCCCCATCAAATCTCATGGGGGCCAGGAAGTGCAACTCTATCCTATGACATGGACATGTTTCATAAATAGTATGAATGACCACTATTGCCTCTTAGGGTCACTTTCTCATTTTATCTTCACAACAACTCCAAGTGATAGGCACTATTATTCTCATTCCTGTTTTCAGGAAAATAATCTGAGGTCAGAGAAGGGATGCCACAGTGGGGGTTGCATAGCTAAAAAGGGGCAGAGCGTAAGATTTTATTACTGGGTCACGTGGAGGGGGAAGAGAGACCACATCACAGAGAGCAGGAACAAGCCTGAATTAGTAGTTATCTTTGGCTACATAACAAACCACTCTAACACTTAGTGGCTTAGAACAATCACCTTTTATTTTGCTCATGATTTTATGGTTCTGCAATGTGGTCTGGGATGGTTCTTCTGCTGGTCCCTGCTAAGTTCAGTTGCCTGTCTGCTAGGCAGCTGTTTCAGAGGGTTAGCAGACTGTGGGGTTGGAATGTCAAGGCTGACTGGGCCACATTTCATATCACCCAGCAGATTAGCTGGGGCTTCCTGACACACTTCCCAAGCCTCTGCTCGCATCATGTTTCCTATTGTCACAGTGGCCAAGCAAACCAATGGCCAGGTCTAGAATCAGAATGAGAAGGGACTATCCAAGGGCATGGCTACAGAGAAGCTGGACAAATTGGAGGCATTAATGGGTCAGGCTGGTTCCATATCTAAGATGCTTTACCATCACAAGCCCCCAAAGTCAAAACAGTCACTGGTCCACCCCAACTCCCAGGGAGGTAAAACTCAGATATAAAGTATCTTGATTCCAGCCCAAGGAAGTCTTTCCTGTACAGAACCCCTATTTCTTCCCCTCCCTAAGGAGTCCCCACCTTGGCCCCTTCTTCCTTCAGTCCCAGTAGTCTTAACCCTAGCCCCTTTCTCCCTTAGACCCAGGAGTCCAGTTCCAGTTAAAATCCCAAGTATCTTTTCCCCCCTTCAAATCCCAAAAGAACAGACACAGAATGGCATTTCTACTCATTTTTATTCACTCCTCCAAAAAGCACCACAGACGAGCCACACCCTTTCATGGTTCTCCATCCCAATGGACACAAGTCCCTCCATCATTATCCAGAAATGTAGGAAACTCGGCTAAGGTGCTGAGATTACTTTGTTGCTCAGGTTCTCTGCCTATTCTGGCAGATGGCAATGCCAAAATTCATCATAAATGTCCTTGAATTCTTGCCTTCGAGGGTCTTCCAGCCTGGAGATGCCACGCAGACACACCCTAATAGCAGCTAGTGGATCTGTCCACAAGGGAGGCTCAGTCTTTCTGCTTGGATGCTCCCAGAGACAGATGCCTCACTAGCAACCTTATGCTTCCAGTCTAAAATAAATGTCAATGCCATCAAAAGTCGTGATTTAGAAGGCAACCATTCCAAAAGGTGACACTCAATAGTACCAATATACAACTATATACAGTAACACAACCAGCACTCCCCAACGGCAGAGACACATGCAAACAAAACTGGGTCTTGCTCTCTCATATATGATCTCTGGCATGATTCCCATTGGCATAAGGGCAGAGGAAATTTGGAGCAGGGGAGCAGAGAGCAGAGATGTCAGACAGGACCAAAAGAAATGGTGTGGCAGAAAAAGAGGTGCCCAGACTAGAATCATCATGGGGTTTCCTGGAACCTAGGATGTGTGGGCAAGGGCAACCAGATTACCCCTGGAGTTCCCAGTGTGCCAGGCTTCTCGGGAGGGGCTGCAGTAAGTTGACATGTGAGAGAATGTATGTACCTAGGCATACACTGAATTCTCACAATAACCCTGTGAGGTAAATACCATTTGCTGAGTGACCTGTCCAAGGTCACTCCCAAAGTCAGCAGGACTGTCTGACCCTAGAGCTCCGCTAACAGAACTGCATCCCTTAAGGCTGAGAGGTTTGATAAGGCCTGGAGCCATTCCGTAGAGCCAAATGCTTTCTCCCCATCTTGGCCATCTCAACTTGGATGGGGAAAATTGTGCCAACGGTGGGAGTTCAAGCTGGAGATGGGGAAGCCAGCCTTCAAGTATCTGTGCCTCAGGTTAGTTAGCCTTATCTTCAGCTGTCAAAGGAAATGGGAGCTAGGAAGTAGTTATGGTTGTCATCCAGCACTTTCATTTCACAGACGAAAAAATAAGGCACTGATCCAAGTCACCCATAGTGACAATGGCACAGCTGTGCTTGCCATGCAGGTCCCCTGACCTCTCAGATAGGCACTTTCTCTTCCATTAGATGCTTATTTCTCCCATCTCAATCCTTTTCCCTGTCTGGTGGCAAGAAGCTGACAATCTATATTCCAGCCCTAGTTCTGCCATTGACTAATGAATTAAAATATTAAATATTTACTAAGCACCTACTGTGCCAAGCACTAATCTAGGTGATATAAGACAGACAAGGGGATAATAGCTAAGTAGGTAAATAAATAAATAACTTTCTACACTAACAGTTGGTACAAGGAAAATTAACCAGCCAAGATGAATGATGGGGGGTGTGAGCTACTTCAGTTAGAGTAGTCAGGGAAGGCCTCTCTGAGGGGACATTTGAGCTGAGATTTGACTGACAGAAAGCCACTCATAGAAATCTTGGGGGAAGAGCATTCTAGGCAGAATGAACAGCAAGTGCCAAGGTCCTGAGGCAGGACCCCAGGTGGCCTACTCAAGCATCAGAAGGAAGATCTAGCAAGCTAGCTGGGGAATGGGGTAGGGCAGAGTGTGAGAACAGGCAGGGGCCAGACCACATAGGACTTTGCTGTGTGCTACTGGGTCTAGAGCCTGTCCTCTCTGAGCTTTGCTCTCTCCAGCTATCATAAAAGAGATCCTACTGGATGGCCTCTCAGGACCCCCCCTTGCTGTTTTTGCCACTGAGGAATTCTGTGACCTGTGGCTGCTCCTCCACATGTAGGTGGCAGCCTAGAATATTCCAAGCATTGTGGTTTCTGCCTTTGCCTCACTCATAGCACATTCCCACAGGCTGGAACACCTGCCCAGCTGTCCTTTGGGTCCCTTGCTCACTGCGACACTCTCTGTATACACCAAGGGAGCCAACACAGAAATGTCTGGATTAGTGAAGCAGTACAGCTGCTTCTCCAAAAAAGCAGGTGTATAAAATACCAAGGCCAGAAAGGGTTCAGGTTTAATGACAACAGAAACCAAAAAAGTAGAAACCACTAAAGGAGAGTGGGACAGAGGAACAGACTCTCCAGAGAGCTCCCATATCACTCAGCACCCGTGAAATGGGAGCAGCCTTATCCCTTCCCAGTCCAAGTCACACAGAGAGGGGCAGTTTCAGGGACCCAAATCCATTAGGGATTTGCAGGAGATACCTCTGAGGTATGGGTTTCCGGCCCTTCCATACCTAGGCCTCATTCCTGGTGTCTGGCTACTCCCAGAGCCCACCATGCCCCCCTTACCTCCTCCCCTCATTTTTGTGTTACCATCCTCCCCACAACAGCTGGAGCCCCCCTCCCCCACCAGGAGCAAACATTGGACATCTCTCTACTCCCCAAAACAGACTGAAGAGTTTCTAGCTCTGTCACAGCCCCGTTCCCTCCTCTAGATGCAGACCTCCCACCAACTAGGAATTAAGAACCAATGTCCACAGTCCTCTTGGGAGCCAGGAGTCCGAGACTTCAGAGACTGCCCCTGCCCCCATGAAGGTTCAAAGTCCCCTGCTTCTTGAGGACCTGAGAGGCTGTGTGCAGACCTATTCTCTCTAGAAAACCTAGACCCTATATCCCTTCATAGCTCATAAGTCCAAGAGTTCCAGCTCCCTGGAGTACCCAGACCCTTTCCTCCATTCTGGAATCCCCAGTATGATGGAGACATCCTTCATCAGGAATCAGGCCTTCCATTCCCCCAATCCCTGGAGGACTAGATGTCTAATACATCCAGTATCTACTCCTTTGGAAACTAAGATAATACCCCCTTCCAGAAATCCACCCTCAACTCCCTTCAGGACACAAGTCTAGGGGTACTGTCCCATGATCCCGAGAGAAATGAGAGGAGTACTGACCTCTGATTTTATTCCCCTTCAAGACCCAGGAATCCGGGTAACTAGAAGTCACATATCCCAGCAAGCAGCAAGTCTCATCTCTCTGAAGCACCAGGATTCTGAGTGGCAATACAAAGCTCTGTTCTTTCAGATGCCCAGACATCCCATGCCAGAGTCTGGACCCCCAAACTCCATTCTTCTAAACTGGACTTAGAGTAGCCAAGTAGCCAGGTCGCGGAGACCCGGGAAGCCCTGGCCTTCATTCCAACTCTCACTGAGCAGACGCATGGGGTGCCAGCACTGCCTCTGCGTCAGCCAGCATCTCGTCCAGCGCCTGCAGCAGGACACCATGGGCTGCACGGTAGCCCAGACCACCAGTGGCTGCTGCGCCACCTGCGGGCCACAGGAAAGAGAGTGCACCCAGCGCTGCACCCCCCGCAGTGCCCTCACCCGCCCATGCACCCAGCCTCGCCTCCACTTCAGCACGTGTCACCGGGCCAGGGAAGCGTGTCCGCTCTGCCAGCTCCCCCGGAGCCAAGCCCAGTATGCGTTCCCGCCTGGCCAGTGCTGCGGGTTCAAGCCCCAGCGCCCGCCTCCATTCTGCCAGCTGACCTCGCAGAAGTGCCACATCACAGGCCCAGCCAAGCCCAGGTATTGGTGCTGCTGCTGCGGCCAGGCTAGCCAGCAGAGCTGGCCGCCATGCCCCAGACCGCAGTGCTGCAGCCTTGGTTCGGGCCTCACGTGGGGACGTGGGTGGCAGCGCCAGCAGCAGCGCTCCTGCCTGGGCTGGGGGAAGCGCACGCCGCAGCCACTGGCAGAGCCCAGGGAGTCCGCCTCGCCGCAGAGGGAAAACTGGCGGCAGTGCCTCCTCCAGCACCTCCCAGGTCTCATCCTCCGGGCTCCAGGCAGCTGCACGCTCTGTGTCCCCACTGTCCGATTGCTTCGCATTGACACCAACCTGCTGTAAACTCTCCCTGCCCGCTTTTTCTGAATCTCCCACTTCGCCCGCTTTCTGTGGCCCAGTGCTGTGTTTCTCCCTTCCTTCTCTGCGTGCATCCTCCAACCCCCCTCCGCCTGCGTTCTCTAAGCTCTCCCCGCTGGGCTTCTCTGCCTTTTCCTCTTCTTCCAGAGATTGCGGGTCCTCGCCCTCGCCGTCTGTTCGCACGCAGACGAGGGGGGCATCCGGTAGCACCAAGGGCCGTACCTGGGCCCAATCCTCCTCAGTGGGAGCCCCAGGGGTGACAAGAATGAGGGCGTCATAGTGGGTGGGGTGCGGGGCGGCAGCTGTGGCTGCAGAGCCCAGAGGCACGGTCCAGAGCACCACATTGGGGCGCTCTGGGGCAGGATAGGGTGTGGGCCCAGCAGGCAAAGAAGCAGGCACAGCACCTGGGTCCCAGGGATCCAACCCAAGCAGCATGTCCAGCACAAAGCCCATGTCAGCGGTGCCAGCTATGGCCAGGTCCAGCCGCGCACTACCCAGTCGCTCCAGGCCAGCACGAACCCAGGACAGTGCTGCTTCCAGGCCTCCAGTCTCAAAGGCCTCACGCACAGCTTCCAGCTCAGCTGCTCCCAGCACCTCAAAGCCATCCTGAGCTGGTGGCAGGAGCCTGTAGGGACACGAAGGGATAGGGTCAAGGGCAGAAGAGGGGCTTAAGCCCAGGAGATCTGGGATAGGAAGATAGGACTGAATGGACTATGATGACAAGGGTGGTAGGTACTTCATGAATAATCTTGAGTGAGGAAGGGGCAGGAAAGGGAGGGAGGCAGTTAATGGGCCAGCAAATAGAAATCAGGGCTATGAAGAAAAGGGAGAGGGTTAAATCAGGGCTGGGTTGGCTTGAATAAAGTTAGGTTTCCAACAGAGCCTAAAACTGGACACAGCTAAATCTTCCCTGGCACAGAGTCTTTGGGGGCAAGGTTCTTCTTAGGGACTGCAAGGTTAAGAAAAGGCTGTGCTACACAGGGCAAAACACACACAGGTGGGGTCTGGGGCAAAGACAGAATCGTGACTGTATTGTGAACTAAACGAAAATGTAGCACTATTCACTACTTGACATGGGCAAGGTCACCAAGAAGGCTCTTTCCTGACACTGGTGTAAGGAGGGGAATAAAGACCAGGGGAGAAACCTCATCTACTAGTTTTCACAAAGGAGACATGGCTAAAGAAAATAGATGAGCAGTGGGCCTGGAGAAGAGGCTGCCCCGCCCCAAGCCTCATCTGACTCTATGAAATGAGGCAGCTGGGGTTGGGATAAAAAATTCAGGAGGGGCTCTGGCTGATTTGGCTCAGCGGTTAGAGCGTTGGCCGGCGGTCCAGAGGGACCGGGGTTCGGTTCCCGCTAAGGGCACGTACCTCGGCTGCAGTTTGTCCCCGGCCCTGGTTGGTTGTGCGGGTGGCAGCCACTCAATGTGTCCCTTTCACATCGATGTTTCTCTCTTCCTCTCTCCCTCCCACTCTATCTGAACAATAAATGGAAAAATGTTCTCAGGTGAGGATAAAAAAAAAAAAAAAGAAGAAAGAAAAAGAAAAAGATATTTTAAAAAAAGGGCAGCGCCCTGGCCGGTTTAGCTCAGCGGTTAGAGCGTCGGCCTGCGGTCCTGAGAGACCCGGGTTCGGTTCCCGCTAAGGGCGCGTACCTCGGTTGCAGTTTGTCCCCTGCCCTGGTCGGTTGTGCGGGTGGCAGCCACTCGATGTGTTCCTTTCACATCGATGTTTCTCTCTCTCTCTCTCTCTCTTCCTCTCTCTCCCTCCCACTCTACCTGAACAAAAAATGGAAAAATGTCCTCGGGTGAGGATTAAAAAAAAAAAAAAAAAAAAAGGGCAGTGGGGCCTTGGCTGGTTTGGCTCAGCGGTTAGAGCATTGGCCCGTGGATCGAAGGATCTCAGGTTCAATTCCTGGTCAAGGGCACGTACTTTGGGTTGCAGGTTTGATCCCTGGCCCAGTGGGGGAGTTAACCAATTGATGTGCCTCTCACATCAATGTTTTTCTCTCTCTCTCTCTCCCTTCCACTCTATCTGAAGAGCAATGGAAAATATCCTCGGGTGAGAATAAAAAGGAAAAGAAAGGCAGTAGGGAAGGGTCCCCAGAAATAATGAAGCTCATTGAAGGTGTGGCTTTGGGGCGAGTGTGGTCATCTGAGAAAGAAGCTGTTGGGAAGAATGAGGAAGATGTGAGACAAGTCTTCTGGTAAAATCTTCGTGAGGATCACAAGCTTGTAAGAGTCAGGCCTTCTTCAAACTTTTGCCTTGGGGCAGTATTTGGGTGATAGGTCCCAGCCTCTTCTAGAATTCTTATTAGGAAGTGGGATTTCTGACCTCAGAGCACTCTCAGGAGGTGGGACCTGGATGACAGTTCTGTACCTCCAGTTGACTCTTGCCTAGGGCGGGGCCTATCTGACAGAAGAGGGTCAAGCACCCAGCGCTTGCTTGGTTGGAGCATTGCTGATCTCAAAACCTTCGCTGAGGGGGAGGGACCTGGATTCGGGAGCAGGGCCTCCCGCAGATATCCCATTAAGGCTGGTCCTCAAACTCTCTGGGGTGGGGTCTGAAAGCCTTAAAAATAGTACCTCCGGGGGTGATGTCTAGACTAAAGGACCAAGCCTCCCTAATCCACCCTGAAAATGCTGCGCTCACCTCTGCAGCGCCTCTGCCTGGCTCTGCAGCGTCGCCCTCAGGCGCTCCAGTTCCTTGCAGCTATCGCTGCTGCTGCTACTGCAGTCGGCCTGCAGCACGTAGAGAGGCACGGTTCCCAACCCCGCACTGTCCAGCAGGGCCGCTGTCTCATCCCGGGCCTGGGCTTCATTCTGTGAATCCTCAGGACGGAGGTTCCGCACAGCCAGCAGCGGGGTCCCTCGGGCCAGTGCGGCCCGCGCTGCCTCCCCCAGTGCTGGGGCCAAAGGCTCCACATTCCCCTCGAGGCCGGGCAGCACCAGTACCAGCACGTTAGCCTCCGCTGCCCAGGGCCCTGGTGCTGCGGGTGGGCAACTCAGCTCACCCAGGAAGAGGCCTGGGCCTGCAGCTCTCAGGCTGGGGATCCCAGGGTCTGGTCGTCCATCGGGGATCTCCACCACTTCCACACCCTTGTTGCACAGCTCTGCAATCAGTGCGGATTTTCCCGAGCCCGGAGGCCCCAGGAACAAGGCAGTCACATCACCCCGCGGTAGAGGCATAGCTGGAAAGCAAGCGATGGGGAAGATCGGGGTCAGGGAACACCCAGCTGTTTTCTTTCCTAGTCACCCCACTCTGGTCCTAGACTTCAGTCCTCCACCCTGTCCCCTTCATTCATTCTCGGGTATCCCAGGGACCTAGAAATCCGGCGCCTTAGACCCTATTCCCCAGCCCGGTCCGATCCTCTTTATGGATGTTTCTCTTTCTCCTTCAAAAACTGAGAGCCTCCTCCCTCAGGGACATATTTGTTTTTATCCCCCACTCCTCCCTTCCAAATCACTAACCGAGCACACTGGCGGGCTCCGTTGACGGTGGCCGGTCGGCCGCCGAGAAGCCCCGCCCCTAGCGTCGGACTGAGGTGGGCTGAAGACGCTGGAGCGCCGGGATTTGGGGACGTCCAGATGCGTTCCTGGAGCTCTAACCTGACGTCACTCTTTTCAGGAGGCGGTATGTCTTGGAAGTGCGATCTCAGGGACACAGCCCTTCCCGGCGCCTGCGCAGAATGGCCCCAGGGAGCCTGCTCCCCAACTCCGGCTGCCGCAGGACCTTGAACAATAAGGAAGGCAGCGCGCATGCGTACCAGGAGCGCCTAGCACACCTGCGCAGTGAGTTTAGGTCTGTACGGAAAGGGTGACTCGCAACGTCATCTTAACGCACCCTAGTGCAGAGAAGGACCCCTTCCATTATTTTCAGGGCCGAGTGGGCACGACTGTATTACTGCCGGATGGCAATCCGGGCTCTCGGCTTCGAGGGGCCATCAGATGAAAGAGCGTGGAAACCACCGGGACCTTACACTCGGTGGGCCCAACCCTGCCTCCCTCCGGCTGATGGCGCTGTGACGAGCAACTGACAGGCGCAGCGACAGGCAGCCTTCTGCTGTTTTGGAGAAAAGCGGAGGCCTGGGCTACCAGCCTGGGGAGGGGAGCCTAGGGCGGTGCTTGAGGCAGCCGGACACAGCACCTGAAAGCGCGCGTAGGAGGCGGGGGCTCTGGGTGGAACAAGTTACGGATGTCAGGAAAGGCTGTCTACTGGGAAGAGGCAGGCTACATTGTGGGTACCACTACCTGCCTCAAGATGTGTGGGAGAGACGGGGATGAGGATGGTGCCAGAGGTCAAGGGTTCCACACTCTGAGTTCAGGGAGCTAGTTTGATGTGGGTCTTGGGTCTCACACAGGTGAGATGACTCTAAGGTTGAGTCACAAACCCAGGGAGTCGAATCTTTTGGGAGGGTTGAAGTTTCTCTAGTGAATGCTCCATTAGGTTAGAGTTTAAGGAGGTGGTGTCTCGCAGGGGTCCAAGGCTGGCAAAGAGAGCCTCTATATCAAAGGTCATAGGATTAGCGGGCTAAGGCTGGCAATAGGTGAGTGACAAATTTTGATTTACTCTTCTATCATGCGTCCTCCTCTCTTGACCAGAGGGGTCCTAGTCACCATGGAGGACCCACTTCCCGAAGAGACCATGGAGCAGCAGGATTCATCCAAGGCGAGCAGTCCCCGCCGTACAGGAGGCAACATCTGTGAGTACCACTGGCCAGAGGGTGGGGTGCAGGAACTGATGCTAAAGGATTTCTATAGCATTTCAGTGACTGGGAGCTGCCCTACCAGGAATTACCACTCCCCATCTTTACCCTTATTAGCTAGCTCAGATGTACTCACCTTGCTCTGTTCACATAAGTATGAATGGGATGCAGCTCAGAGGGACAAAGTGGCATCCAGAGAGGCATGGGGTGGGAGATGTGGCTGGGAAACAGCAGAGACTGTAAGAGGAACCCCAAGGTTCCAGTTCCAACTCTTCCCCAGACTTTCAGTGCTACTTGGGCCTTGGTTTCCCTAGCTGTGAAAAAGGGCTGCCATTACCCACCTCTACTTACCTCACAGGGCTGTTCTGGGGATTAGCCACAAAGCAGAAAGTTTGAGGGTAATAAAGGTAGCCAATTTGACATAATACCAATAGCTCCTACTGAATGTTTACTACACTCATCTCATTCAGTCCTAACACCCTATGAAATTGGTTATTTTCACATTCAGATGAGGGAACTGAGGCAAAGAGAAGTTAAGTATCTGTAACAATGACAGCCACAGTGTCAGTGCCTTCTAGTCAAAGACCCCCAGGAACATGCCCGAAGTCAACAAGTCAGTTTATTGCTCACTGTACTGAGAAAGCACACACATTATAGTGGCACCATGGGGCATTTCAGTAATAGTGTCACAAAGGACTGATTATAGGATTGGGGTTTGTGATTTGGGGGAGGGTTAAAGGAAGAGGGGTTTTGCTTTGGATTGGATGGTGCCAGGAGCAGAGCAATTCTATGGTTGGCGATCTTAATAAATCTTACCTAGGCCCCGGACAGTTTGGCTCAGCAGTTAAGAGCATCATCCTGCAGACCGAAGGGTCTCAGGTTTGATTCCCGGTCAAGAGCACTTACCTGGGTTGCAGGTTCAATCCCTGGCCCAGTGGGAGTTGTGCAGGAGGCAACCAATCGAAGTGTCTCTCTCGCATTGATGTTTCTCTTTCTTCCTCTCCCTCCCTCCCGCTCTCTCTAAAAATCAATGGGAAAATATCCTCAAATGAGGATTAACAAAAAACAAAAAACAACAACAACAACAACAAAACCCAGCTTACCTAGAAGGCAGAGAAATGAAGCAAGGCACAGCTATGATTTGTAAAGCAGCAGCAGCTACTTGTATCAGCCAGGACAGGGGGGTGTTTGGTCATTTTTGTGGTTTGGACAGGTTAAAGTTTTGTCTTTATTCAAATGCTATTATGGCATAGTTTTGTTGCTTGTCAGTGTGGCCTTGTCTGATGATGTTCTGTGAAATTGTTTATATTAAACAGAATGCCAAAGCCTAGCTGTGAGTGCCAGGCCAGCTCCCGGCTGTGGGGCTGTTTTTCTCCATCTCAAGAGTAATAATTGCAAACCACTGTATAAAGTGTTCTAAGCACTTTATATAAGTTCATGTATTTATTGCTTACAAAGCCCTATGAGGTAGAAACTGATATGGTTATGACTCCATTTTCCAGACAAGGAAACTGTTGTACCTGCCTGGGAAGTAGGAGAGCCAGTCTGGCTCCAGAGGCTGTGCTCTAGTCACACAGCTGTACTGAAAGGAAAGACTCCCTGGGTTCCAGTCCTGACTCCTCCATTTCATTTCCTAACCTCATGACTGGACAAGTTGCCTAACTTTTCTGAGCCTCAGTCTGCTCATCCATAAAACAGATCAATAATAATTTGCCTGTACTGGTGCTGTCCAGCCCTGGCATGCAGACTGGCACACAGTAAGCACTGAATGTTAATTGTTGGCATGATTCTGGGGCTTGGGAGAGGTCCTGGAGACTCTTGCTGGCCTCCCCCGACTTCTCCCCACATCCCTCAGGCCATCTGAGGGCCCTGCAGTGCACCCGCTGCCTCATCACCTTCGCCAATCCCAAGTTCCAGGAGCGTCACATGAAGCGGGAGCACCCAGCGGACTTCGTGGCCCAGAAGCTGCAGGGGGCTCTCTTCATCTGCTTCACCTGCGCCCGCTCCTTCCTCTCCTCCAAGGCCCTGACAGCCCACCAGCGCAGCCACAGTCCTGCCACCACGCCCTCCCTGCCAGTTGCACCCACCATTGCCCAGCCCACCTTTCCCTGCCCTGACTGCGGCAAGACCTTTGGGCAGGCCACTTCTCTGAGGCGGCACCGCCAGGTGCATGAGGCCCACTCCACTCCTGGCCCCTTCGCCTGCACTGAGTGTGGTCAGGACTTTGCCCAAGAAGCTGGGCTGCATCAACACTATATCCGGCATGCCCGTGGGGAGCTCTGAATGCAGCTTCAGCCCTCCCCAGGGCAGTGGGGGCTCTGTGGCTGGTGGGACCCACCTCGGATATGGGATGGACCCTTGGAGGAATTTGCTTCCCTCCCTGGAAAGGCAAAGGGCTCCTGATAATAGCCCCTAGAAGATGCTCTTTAGAGCTTCAGTCTTTGAAGGACAGAAAGACCTTCGGGGAAACAGTGAAATCAGACAATAGTGAGATCTTTCATTTAAAAAAAAAATAAGAGGGAAAATTATTTGTATCTCCCTCATTTCCAATTAAATAGTTTGAAATCACAAGTAGCTGCAGATTGTGTAATCACCTTTAATTCTTCCCAGATGGATGCCATTTGCTGTAGGAGCAAATTGCCCTGGATTTTTGCCTGAATGGGGGCAGGGAAAGTGAGGTGTTGCTGGCCTGTAATGCCACCAGATGGGTCCGAGACATAGAGCAGCTCTGGCCTTTAGGGACGGGCAGCAAAGTTAAGAGTTGTACTGAGTGAGGTGGGGGTTGCAGTTCAAGTCCTTGTCTCCTCCACACCCTCTGCCAGCCTTTCCCACTCAAGGGGCCATGGCATTGGGTGACTTTGCTTCTTTCAACCCTGATAATTGACCATTTAAATAATCTTATGTACCGTTCTGGTCATGGAATATTTTTTATACGTGTAGGTCAGATGGCATGAATAAATTAACAGAAATAATATCTAAAAACAGAAGTGCTCTACACTAAGATATCTAAACAACGAACTCTGGCTTTTCAGCAGGAATTTGCAGAGTACATAAGAACAACACGAGCAGGGGTAGTTCAGGGCAGAGCCAGCCTGGCCCTGTGAAGAAACTGGTTTGGAATCAAACAGAGATACCTTCTGTTTACTGTTGTATTTGGCCAACATTAGGAAATTTCCCATTAGAATCCTATTTTCAGCGCTTGAAAAGCCCACCCATGGCTGAGTCTCACCAGGCCAGTTTTACTCCCTTGCATTACCTGCCCTGCCTCTAGAGACAATGGTTGATGCCCTGTATAAAATAATCATTTAAACTGAGGATGTTTTTAAAACCCACAGGTGGGATGGATTTGGTAGTGACTGACAGCTGTTTCCCAATTTTTAGCTAGGCATATGGTGGCTACAAAGACCTCATTCCCCAGATTCCCTCGCTGCTACCTGTGGCTGTGTAACTGAGTTCTGGCTAAATTCCTGGGCAGAGTCTTCAAGCTTCAGAAAGGGATGTGCCTTTCCTCCACCTTCCTGCCTGGAATGTGGACATGGTATCCAGCCATCCTGGACCATGAAAGCAACAGGTGGAATGGCAGAGCAGCAAGATAGCAGGAGTTTGGGTCCCTGGTCAACTTCATACAACAGAGCCATCATATCAGCCCTAGAACACCCACTTCCCTATTGTCATGAAAGAGAGAAATAAGCCTCTACCTTGTTTAAGCTGCCATTTGCTTGGGTCTCTGTCACAAACAGCGTAATTTATAGCTTAAGGCAGGGGTCTGCAAACTATGGCCAAATCCAGCTTGCCTCCTGGTTTTGCAAATAAAGTTTTACTGTAAAATAGTCATGCTCACTCATTTACATATTGTATATGGCTGTTTTCACAGAGGACAGCAGATTCGAGAAGGCGCAACAATCATATGGCCCACAAAGCCTAAAATAGTTACCATATAGTCCATTACAGTAGAAGTTTGCCCTGAGAAATACTACTTGTATCAGGGTTGTGTGTGTGTAGGATTTGGGGCACGGCTAGCTGGTGTAGATCTCTTTGCTGGGGTGACTTAGGGAGAAACTGGTTTGGAGTCAGTTGGCCATCACTTTTTTCTAAGATACCAACTTCACCAAAGCCAAGCATTTCCTCTGGCACCTGGTGAAAGCCCAGAAGTTTCATACCACCCCCACAGCAGTCCCCTCCCCCAAACATAAGGATCTAATCCCACATGCTCTCCCAAGATAGATAGCTGCCTGCCCAAGTACACCCTTGGCTTCCTGTTCTCTCTACACTCTCCAGATGTCATAGATTCACAAGACTTTAAATAGTGTAACTGGTGACTCCCAAATCTTTATATCTTCAGCCCAAATCCCAGATTCCCCTTCATGAGATACCGCCACCTAGATGACAAAGGGGAGTTGCAAACTTAAAATGGGTCACCATGACACCTGTAGCCCCTACCTCTACCACAACTGCCAACATATTAGCAAACTGTGAACTCTACTTCTAAATTGCTGAAGAATCAGATTACTTCTCTCCCAGCCCTACTCTCTTAACTGCCCCCTTCCAGGCTCTACTACAGCCCACCAGTGTGTATGTAAATCAGTTTACATCACTTCTCATTTAAAACCCTCCAAAGGCATCCCATAAAGAACTTCTGAAGGCCTTACCCACAAAACCTAACAATGACAGCCCCAGCCCACTGAGCAATCTCAACTCCCAGCCACACAGGCCAGTTTGGCTTCTGCCTCAGGGCCTTTGCACTTGCTGTTCCCTCTGCCTGGAGTGCTTACCTAGAACTTTGCAAGGCCTCCTTATTCAGGTCTCAACATGGGGCACCTCCTCAGAGGTCCTCGACCTGATTGGCTGAAGTAGCACCTCCAACCCTTAATTATGCTGATTTAATTTCTTCCCAGCACTCTCCAACAGCTGGAATTATCCCACATGTTTATTTCATTATCTGTGTCCTTATGTTGGAATCCAAACTCCTGAGGGCAAGTGTCATGCCTTCCTCATTTCTTCATCCCTAGCACTTAGGACAGTGTTTGCCTCCAGCCTGCCTTAGAGAGCTGGTTTCCTTGAAGTTCTGCCCATGAGAGGTATGGGTAGAAGAAGGCAGGAAGAAGGGGAAAGTGCCTCACCTTGCTTTGTGTAAGGAACCTCTCTATACTCACACAGGCACTATACCCCTCTGGAGGTTTAAGCACCAGCAGCATGGTACCTCACCACTGGCCCCTGCACCAGCCATACGTGGCCTGTCCTTCAAGCACCTATTGGGTTCTGGGCATCTCACCTCTCTTTCTGTATCCCAATCCTAGAGGTGGGAGCTTCTTGCAGACCCATTTCTTGGTTATCTCACTTTTTTATATTTGTGCTCCCAGCCTTCTAACACCTGTGTGACTAATTCCCTGTACTAAATCCTCTCTTTGGAATTCCCAGCTTCTTTCCATACTCTGGATCTCAAGGAATGGGATGACCCCAATGGCACCACACTGGGTCTCTAGATTCCCAGGCTCTCTTGATCCTTAGGAATTTTTGCTGACAAATGGATAATTCTCTACATCTGTGCTTAGAAAGAAAGCCCTATCTTAGGGCAGAAGAGGGCTTACACATGCTGCCCCAGGAAATAAAATCCATCCATGTTGTTTTGATGAGCTGTGCATTCCTGCTTTGACGATGTTGAGATTCAGTAATGCTAAACTACAGTGGGTATAAAAGCCTCAGTGGATAAATGTCAGGTTCTGAGATTCAGAGCTTCTAGGATGAAAAGTATGGGCTTTGAAAGATGCTTTGGTCAGTGTGGCTGAGCAGTGTAATTCAGTTGGTTGGAGCATTGTCCTGTACACCAAAGATGGCAGCTTCAATTCCCAGTCAGGGCACATATCCAGGTTACAGGTTTGATACCTACCTGGTAGGGGCACATGGGAGAGGCAACCGATAGATATTTCTCTCTCTCTCTCTCCCTCCCTTCCTTCCTCTCTCTAAAAATCAATTAAAAAAAAAAGAGAAAGAGCCCTGGTCAGTTTGGCTCAGCAGTTACAGCATCGACCGTGAACCAGAGAGTCCCAGGTTCGGTTCCCACTCAGGGCACGTACCTCAGTTGCAGTTTGTCCCCATCCGGTTGGGGTCGTGTGGGTGGCAACCACTCCATGTGTCTCTCTCACGTGGATGTTTCTCTCTCCCTCTACCCCTCCTGCTCTGTCTGAAGATAAATGCAAAAAAAAAAAAAGAGACAGATGCTTTGGTCTAACATCCTGTAACAGGCATCAAATGCAAATATTCTTTGGGCCAAGCAGGTAACATAAATCAATGAAGCAAGCAAGCAAGCGGGTGTGAAGGGTCCAGATATCAGATGATGGGGACTGGGCATGAGGCAGGGAATGCCCCATGTTAACATGAGGTGACCCTTACTCAGCTCTATCAAATTATTGCCCCATGGGATTATGGGTTCAGCAAGCTAGATCTCACAATTTTTCAAGAGAAGCCGGAAACCTCCATTTCTTTATGAAATCCATGCCTCCCCCCCACCCCCCTTTTAAATCCTTACAGTTTCATTGATTTTTAGAGAGGGGAAGGGAAAAAGAAAGGGGGATTAAAACAACATCGATGTGAGAGAGAAACATCAATCAGTTGCCTCCTGCATATGTCTCAACAAGGGCTGGGGATTGAACCTACAACTTTTTGGTGAACAGGATGATGCTCCTACCAACTCAGCCATACCAGCTAGGTCAAATCTGCTCCATTTGTAAATGTTGGTAACCAATGTGATTAAAAAACCTCAGTAATTCAGTGGAGACCAAATACACTCCTGCAAGTCAGACAGTGGCTGGGAACAGCCAGCCTGCCATTTCTGGTGTGTGGCTTCATGGCTAAGAATGCGTGCCCTGCACCTAGTTGTCTGGAATCAAACCTGGGTTTTGTTAGTTACTAGCTGTGACCTCTAGCAAAAACTCAATGTCTCTGTGACCCAGTCGTAGTTGCTGATTATGATAGCAGACCCTATGCCTCTAAGGATTATGAGTATGACTCAGACTCAAAGAGAAAGTCAAAGTCAGTATAATGGTCTACATGGCCTCGTCCTCTGCCCCTCTCTGACCGTGTCTTCCCTGCCTTCCTCGGCAATAGCCTCTTGGCCCTGTGCACTCTACCACAAACATCCCAAGTAGGATCTGTGCTGTGCTGTTCCTACAGACAGCCACAGACTCACTCCTTCCCCTCCTCTAGGTCTCTGCTCTGATGTCACCTTCTTAGTGAAGCTTTCCTCACCATCCTATTTGGAACTACTTCACACACACACACACACACACACACACACACCTCCCTACCTCCCCCCTTCCCTTTTCCTTCACAGCACTTACTACCTTCTATACATTTATATTTTACTTAAATATCTAAGTGTCTGTCGTCTTCCCCAGTATAATATAACTTCCACAAAGGCAGTGATCTTTGTTCATCATTCTACCCCCAGCTTCCCAAATAGTGCCTGCATCTCATAAGTGCTCAAATCATTGTTGAATGGATGAGTAAATAAATAATAGTCCCTACCTCATAAGAATCCGAGGCGATTGTCCATATAAAGCGCTTAGCCCAGGGCCTGGTCCACTGTGAGCGATGACTTAATGATGGCCATTACGGTAATTCAGGTTCTATTCTCGAAGGTTCTTAGTTGCCAAGCTTCTATGAGTTAACACACGTAAAGCGCCTTAGAACAGGGCTTGGCACACAGTAAATGCTCAGTAAATGGTAGCTATCATTATCATTATAATTAGGCTTCTGTTTTCAAAGCAGCTTTGGTGCCAAACTTCTGTGAATTAGTACTTCCCATCTCAGAGCAAGAGCCAAAGTTTAGACAAGGCTGTAAGGAGCTGGCTGTCTGCTCCCCTCCAAACTCATCCCTCCAGCTCTGCCCCCCTTCCCTCTGCTCCAACGCCTTCCTGATCAGGACAGACTCCTGCCTCCTCCCACCTGGAAGGTTCCTCCCATGGCTCCTTCCCTCCCTCCTTCAGGTCTGTCACCTCCTCAGAGAGGACTATACTATTTAAAATTGCAACCCCCTTCCAGAACTCTTCTCCCTTCCCAGCTTTATTTTTCATCATCACCCAGCATATGCTACATCTTACTTGTTTACTGTCTGTCCCCACCAGTGGCCCCTTTCCACCCCCATAAGCTCCTTGAGTACAGGGATTTGATTTTATTCACAGGCATATTCCTAATGCTTAACACACAGGTCCCCTCAAAGCTGTTTGTGAAATGAATTAATGGATTACAGTCCCTACCTCAGAGTTATTCTAAGGACCTGATGATCTCATGCAAATAAAATACAGAATTCTGTAAGTGCTAGGAAAATGGCAACTGATTATAATTAAGGTTCTATTTTTGTAAGTTCCTAGATGCACAACATATATAAAGCTCTTGGACCAGCACTTGGCACCCAGGAAGCGCTTAGGAAGTGTAGTTATAATTATAATGAAAGTCTTCTTTGTGAAGGTTCTTAGGCAAAGTGGCAGAGAACACGAGCTGTCCTCTACAAACCATTTTCTGCTTTCTGGGCACTTGGCTTGGCCACCTTTCCCAGACCTTTCCCTTGAAGTGAGCTGTGGCCACATGACTAATTTCTCAGCAAAGGAACGTAAATGGAAGCAGTATCCGCCACTTCTGGGCTAGGGCTTATGGCCACTCAGCCATGACCATATGGATGACAACAGGCTTATGAGATGATCTGGGTCCCCAAATCACTAGATGGAGAAGGTTGCTTGCCTATCTAAAATACCCACCCTGGACTATTATGTGAGCAAGAAACAAAATTCTATTGTATTTGAGCCTGTACATCATGGAGTCTAAGAGCAAATACATGGAAACCACATTAAACATACAGTATTTAGTAAATGTTAATTATCTAGGCAAACATTGATCCTACAGTTCACCCAAGAAGGAGCCCAAGGGGATGAGGGGCAGACAGATGCCCAGGCGCATGCCTCACACACGGAGCATAAACACACATACACATACACACACAAACACCAAACACACGCTGGACTGACACACACAGAATTTGGCTTTTATTCTGGCCTTCACACATACTGCTAAGACAACACAGATAGGCAGTACCACATCCCCCCAGACCATTTCAACCACCCAATTTCTTCAGTCCCCTCCCCCCCACCCTTTCTGCCAAGCTCCCTGGGTGTGGGGCTATGCCTACACCTCACCCCGGGCATGCAGCATGAAGTGCCCATGCAGCTCCCCGAGGTTGTCGAAAGAATCCTCGCATTCCGTGCAGTGGTAGGTGCCCTCCTCATCCTCCTCCTCGTCCTCGTCCTCCTCCCTCCCAGTGGGCTGGCCCTCCCCAGCCTGAGGTGGCTCTTCCTCTTCCTCCCCAAGCACCCTGCCTTCAGGGGCTGGCGCTTCCTGGGGGGCTGTAGCGGGACAGCAGAGCCGGCAGGGTGGGGTGCCTGGTGGGGCCTCCCCAAGGGGTGAGCGGCCACAGAGCTGGCAGGGCTGGGCTGGGGGGCCCGGGGGCTGTGCTGCACGGGGGGCCCGGCGGGATGGGCCACCCCGGCCCCCACCCAGGCGCTGCTTCACCTTGTAGCCAGGGTCATATTCAGGGTCATCAGTGGTCTCCTCTTCCTCCTCCTCCTCATCTTCTTCCTCTTCGGAGTCTGGCTCTGAGAGTGTGTATTCGGAGTCAGAGGAATGCTCAGGGCCTGTAGGGGACAGTGGGGAAAAACAGCGGCATCAAAGGACAGAGGGCTGTGCCTGGGTAGCTGTCCCCTCCCTAAGCCCCATTTAGGCTTGACACCAGCTACAGAGAATGACCTGAGAACAATCCTGCCCTTCCCCACAGATGGCTGCCCATTGCATAGAATAGGGCCTGGCACACAGCAGGTGCTCAGTGTCTGCGTGTTCAGCCAATGAATGTCTTGCAAGAACTGCATCTTAGGAGGTTAATAAGGTTAATAAGGTTAAAATAGCAGTAAAATTAGGAATAGTAAAAATAACAGCAACAGCAGCAGTGTGCATTGCTTTTGGAAGAGCCTTACTCTCATGTATTAACTCACCTAATTCTTACAGCAACCTTGTGAGAGAGGCACTGTTATTATTCCTAAGTGACAAATGGGGAAACTGAGGCATAGAGCAGTCAGGCCTCCAGTCACACAGCTCTACCAGGAAAAGCTAAATATGGGTGCTTGCCTATGCCAGATCATTTTAGAGACAAACATTTGAACCAGTATTTAAGCAAATTAAAACACACAGTAAGTATGTGTGTACTTTTTTTTTTTTATCCTCACCCAAGAACATTTTTCCATTTTTTGTTCAGAGAGAGTGGGAGAGAGGAAGAGGAAGAGAGAGAGAGAGAGAGAGAGAGAGAAATATCAATGTGAAAGGTACACATTGAGTGGCTGCCACCTGCACAACCCAACCAGGTCCGGGGACAAACTGCAACCGAGATACGTGCCCCTAGTGGGAACCAAACCCAGGTCTCTCTGGACCGCAGGCCGACTATCTAACCGCTGAGCCAAACTTGCCGGGGCTATATGTACTTTGATACATGTGACTTTATATATAGTCATGTGCTGCTTAATGAAAGGAATACGTTCTGAGAATGCATCATTTGGTGATTCTGTTGTGCAAACATTGCAGAAACCACTTACACAAATCTAGACCATCTAGCCTACTATATACCTAGGGTATTGCCCTGTGGGGAGGAAAAATAATTTCCCTCTACCCTTCTAGGTTCTTGGCTGTAACAAAGACAGACCCCCTGTATGCATGGAAGAGACTCAGGAAAACTGAGTTGCTCAACAAAATGACTAAAGCCACCACCTTACATACCTTCCTCAGTTGAAGACAAAGATACTGGGGGTAGGAGGAGTCAGCTATGGCAGATTACCAGAAAGAGCAATAACCAAGAGTAAGGTTATGCAGATTTACATCCCTGTATTCCCTCACAGATTAAAGTTTCTAGAGATAAAGTCATCCCCCCTCCAGGTACTTGAAGGAGACACCCTTACAAATGTAAATGTCTTTTACAAAGTATAACTTCCACTTGGTTTTGATTCTCCTGACTGCTGTTTCTGAGGGGGAAAAAAAACCAGCCTAAAATAATCGTTATGCTAAATAGACCTACAGGGGGTCAACTGAAAAATCCTCCTTACAAATGAGCCCAAGCAGTTCAAACCCTCCTTGTTCAAGGGTTAACTGTATTTGGGGGTGACAAATTCTGTCCCCCTATAGCTCCTAAGCTACACACCTGTACAGCATGTTGTACTGAACACAATGTTTACAGTAGGTAACTGTAACACACTGGTATTTGTGTAATGTGCTGTGTGACGCCATTAAGATGGCTACATCACTAGGCAATAGGAATTTTTCAGCTCCATTATGGGACCACTACAGCACATGTGTTCAGTTTTTGACCAGAATGTCATTATGTGCCACATGACTACACACACACACACACACACACACACACACACACCTAGTTAAGTGAATTAAAAGATTTATGTGTAACCATAGACATATGACTATGATTTCGTGCATATGAAGGACATGCCTAGGACAAGTTTAAGTTAAAAAAAAAAATTTAAGTTCATGCATAGGAAGAGGTGACATCAGCAGTTGTCTGAGGGGTGCACACACAAGCCATGGTCCAGGAGAGAGCAGTCCCCACTTTGGTAGCAGTGTGGGAAATGCTTCTTTAGGTGCAGTGGCAGGAACGTGCCGAAAGTAGGACTGCAACAGTGCCCTGCGTTCATGCTGGCCCCCTCCCCAGTCGTCCCTGGAAGCCCAGAGGGACCCTATTACAACTGAGCAGCCACAAGGGTTCCTCACTGTTCCTCCACACCCCAGACATGTACCCGCCCAAGGGCCTGGAGGCTTGCCAGCCTTTCTGGAGATGGATTAAGGTTTGCTCCTGCCTTTCTGCCACACTTCTGCTCAAGTGTGACCTACTTAGTGATACCCCGGTCACTCTAACTAGCAATCCCTCCCCAGCACGCCCTATGCCCCTAACTCGGCTTATTTTCTCCTCAACTTATTTTATACAACATCTAGTTGTGTGTTTATTGCTTGTCCCCAAAGCAGGGGATTTGTCTGGTTCATTGCTTGGGTGGCCCCAAGGTCCTGGTCTCCCTCTCTCCTCCAGGCCATTGCCTCTTTCTCCCAACTGGAGCCACCTTTTCCATTTCTAGCAGCAAACTCCTGCTCTTCTTTAAGGCTCCAGCTCACCTTCTCTGTGAGGTCCTCCCTGACTCCCCAGGCAGTCAGTGTTTCTCTCCTCTGGGCCCTCCTAACACAATCTGACCACCTAATCAGTGACTGTCTGGGATTGGAGACTCCTGGAGGCAGGATGACCCAGCATCTTGTCCCTATGTACCCAGCAATGCTGAGCCTGAGTCAGCCTTAGGAGACATTTGCTCAATGTGCAAAACACAGTAAACATCTCTGACCTTGGGATAGGGCCCCACCCCTCTTTATCCTCCCACCTCTGACTTCACACCACCTACCCTCCAGGGTCTTCAATGCCCACTATGACTTCATGCAGTTGGCCTGTGAAAGGCAATCAGGTGGTCATCTAGAGCTACCAGGTCTTTCATGTCCACTGTGACTTCCAGGACCACAAGCCCTTTTGCACCCACCATGCCTTCTCCACCTATAAGATCCTCCAAGCCCAGCAAGTCTCTGGCATTCACTGGACCCTCGATGCCCACAGTGTCTCCCAAGCCTTCTCCCTCCTTGAAGACCACTAAATCAGCAATGCCCAACAGCTCTTCAGTGCCCAGCAAGCCGTCAACAGCTCCCAACTCAGTCACAAGCCCCAGCAGTTCCAAGTCCACCAAATGGGAAAGTACAAAGACAGCCCCTTCTAACCAGCCCAGCAGCAGGTCCCAAGTCCACAGCAGAACGAGAACACCCAGCAAGGCCAGCACCGATACCAGGGCCAGCACTGACACCAGGGCCAGCAAAGCCAACAAGTCTGGAGGGGTAAGACACCACCACCGAAAGGGCACACACAGCCGAGGCAGAGCTCCTGGCAGAAGGGGAAGCCAAAATTCCAAAAGGTCACCCAGCAGGGCCAGCACTCCCAGCAGGATGAGAACTCAGGGTGCCAAACAAAGTACACCCAGCAGGGTAAGAACTACTTCCCAGCAAAAACAGAGTGGGAAGAAAACTTATAGCCGGCCTAGAAACAACCACCGGGAAAGGAGTGAGAGCCAGTCTAGAAATATGAGCAGAGAGATGAATTCTAGCCCACCAGGAACTTCAGGTGTGGAGAATAATTCCAGGCTGGCTGTGACCCCCAGTAGAGCAAAGAGTTATAGCCCCACCATAACTCCTTGGAAAGAGATAGGTTTACTCTTATCTTTGAGGAGGGTAAAGAGTCAGAGTCAAATGATTACCCTGAGCAGGGAACAGAGTTACAGCCCAAATGAAATGTCCAGTATGGCTAAGAGTTACAACCAGGGTAGTGCACCCAGCAGGACTCGAAGTCATAGCCAGTCTAGCACCCCTAGCAGGACCCGAAGTCATAGCCGGTCTAGAACACCCAGAAGGGCAAGAAGTCGCAGTCGGAAGCGGACCCACAGCAGAATGAGAAGTCAAAGTTGGAAGAGAAATCATAGTACGGCAAGAAGTCATACCTGGAAGGAAACACCCAGCCAGATGAGAAGACATAGCCAGTCTAGAACCCACAGCAAGGAAAAAGGTCAATACCAATCTAGAACCCTCAGAAGAGAAAGTCACAGCCAGTCTAGAAGCCCCAGCAAGGAGAGAGATAACAGACGATCTAGAACCCCCAGCAAGGAGATAAATCACAGACAATCTAGAAGCCCCAGAAAGGAGAGATATCACAGCCGATACAGAAGCTCCAGTAAGGAAAAAGATCACAGCAGGCCTAGAAGCTCCAGCAAGGAAAGAGATCACAGCCAAACTAGAGCCTCCAGAAAAGAGAGATATCACAACCACTCTAGAAGCTCCAGCAAGGAAAGAGATCTCAGCCAAACTAGAACACCCAGAAAAGAGAGATATCACAGCCAATCTAGAAGCTCCAACAAGGAAAGAGAGCACAGCCAAACTAGAACACCCAGAAGAGAGAGAGATCACAGCCAATCTAGAAGCTCCAACAAGGAAAGAGATCTCAGCCAAACTAGGACCCCCAGAAAAGAGAGATATCACAGCCGATCTAGAAGCTCCAGCAAGGAAAGAGATCTCAGCCGAACTAGAACCCCCAGAAAAGAGAGATATCACAGCCGATCTCGAAGCTCCAGCAAGGAAAGAGATCTCAGCCGAACTAGAACCCCCAGAAAAGAAAGAGATCACAGCCGATCTAGAAGCTCCAGCAAGGAAAGAGATCACAGCCGATCTAGAAGCTCCAGCAAGGAAAGAAATCGCAACCAAACTAGAACCCCCAGAAAAGAGAGACAGCACAACCGATCTAGAAGCTCCAGCAAGGAAAGAGATCTCAGCCGAACTAGAACCCCCAGAAAAGAGAGATATCACAGCCGATCTAGAAGCTCCAGCAAGGAAAGAGATCACAACCAAATCAGAGCCTCCAGAAAAGAGAGAGATCACAACCAATCTAGAAGCTCCAGCAAGGAAAGAGAGCACAGCCGAACTAGAACCCCTAGAAAAGAGAGACACCACAGCCGATCTCGAAGCTCCAGCAAGGAAAGAGATCTCAGCCGAACTAGAACCCCCAGGAAAGAGAGACACCACAGCCGATCTCGAAGCTCCAGCAAGGAAAGAGATCTCAGCCGAAATAGAACCCCCAGAAAAGAGAGACACCACAGCCGATCTCGAAGCTCCAGCAAGGAAAGAGATCTCAGCCGAACTAGAACCCCCAGAAAAGAGAGAGATCACAGACTATTTAGAACCTTCAGCAAGGAAAGAGATCATAGTCAATCTAGAAGCTCCAGCAAGGAACAAGATCACAGCCAAACAAGAACCCCCAGAATGGAGAGAGCTCACAGCCAATCTAGGACCCCCAGAAAGGAGAGAGGTCGCAGTCGATCTAGAACCCCCAGAAAGGAGAGTGATCACAGCCGAGCTAGAACCCCCAGCAAGGGGAGCAGTAACAGCCAATCTACAACCCCTGGAAGTATCAGCTGGAAGGGATCCCCTAGCAGGGTACTAAGTCCCAGTCAGAATAGAACACTTAGTGTGACAAGAAGCAATTCCCCTTCAAGATTTCTCCCAAGCCAGGATGATATTCAAGCCAACATCACCACCTCTAAAGCCACCTCACCTGGAGAGAGGTCCTCCTCATCTTCTTCCAAGCTGGCGTAGCCCCCAGTTTCAGCTGGCTCACGAGTCTCTGTCATGGCCAGAGGAGGGGACAGGAGACAGGAGCAGAGCAGCAGCTAGGCAGCGTCCCTCCCTGGCCAGCTCTCCACAGCTATACCTTGGCCACAAGTTCTCTAATGCAGGATGTTAGCAGGTAGAGGGATGCTGGAGGGAGAAAGGAAAGGCCTGTGGTGACTCAATAAATTTTTACATAGCATCCGCCTCCCCAGACTCAGCTGTGTGCTCAGTGATGGGGAGAAGGCAAAGGACCCCAACTCTGCCCCTGATTGCTTACTGGGCCTTGACTGCAGGCCCTGCCCCTATGTAGACCTTAATTTCCCCCTATGGGCCACAAAACTGTCTGTGGTTCTTATTCAGTGGGGTGGGGAAGGATAACATTTCAAATATTTTAAGGTTAGTACTAGCAAGGGCATGAATCAGAACTGAGATTGGGACATGGTCCTATGCTAGGCATTAATCAGTTAGTTGCTGGATTCTAGGAAAGTCTGGGGTTGGGGGAGGATCCAAAGTGGCAATTAGGGGTACTGATTACTTGGTGTAGTGGTGATACACCAACCAGTCTAGAAGTATTTAAATATTTAAACAACTGGTATGGCTGCGCTAGTCTGTGAATGTCAGCCCTAGTTCTATATCAATTTACACCTTGGCAAGATAATATCTAAGTTTGAATCCTAAATCTGCCATATTCTAACTGTACAGCTTTAAGCAACGGCCTTAACTTCTCTAGCCTGTTTCCTTCTCAATACAGAAAGGGCTTCCAGGACTTAACTCATGTACTCTTCATAACTGTGTTGAAACAGATTATCTCCTTTGTACAGATGAAAAAACTGACAGAGAGGATTAACAAGCAGTCCAAAGTCACACCAACTGGTAGGTACATGAGCTAGGATTTGAAGCCACATCATCCTACCTCTCAAAAAATGATCCTTCAGCTGAAAATATTTTTCGAAGATTCAGTAGGTTCATTCATATAAACTGCTGTGTATGTCAGGTATTCCATTAATAGTGGCTGTTACTACTCCCACTCCCGACTCTATAAACCCCAGCCAATCCAGACTTCTCCCTCTCCCTGAGCATACTAGGACTTTTCACACCTGTGGGTCTTAGCAAATCCTGCTGTTCTTGTTTAGAATGTCCTCCTTCCCTCTTGTCAGCTTGGAGAACTACTCACCCTCCGAAGCTCACCTTAAACACAAGAACCTCTGTACTTCTTCCCAGCTCAAATATTACCTCTGCCTCTACCAAGAAGCCTTCTCTTAACTCCTCTCCTTTCTCTCCCTCTTCACCAATACCTCCCTACACACACACACACACACACACATCACTTCTTTGTCTTCCACTGCACTTCCTAACAGGGAGGGCCAGGCAGAGCAAGTCAGTGAAGGTGCTGGCAGCCTCAGCTACACCTCTTATATGCCAAGGCCTGTGCGGGGTACTAGGAATACAATGGTGGAAAATACACATTCCTTCAGAGTCTAGAGGTCAAGTTTAATGCCAGGGACTAAGCAGAAAAAGATCAGGATTGACTCTAAAGGAGGCTGGGGCATGGGAGGGCTCGCATTAACTGCAAGGGAGTTTTTCAGACACCTGGATATGAGCTTTAAGGACAGAGAAGATTCACAATTGGCAGAGAACAGATCTCAAAATACCCTATTGCCTCATTTGATTTGGGAATTCTACTTTATGTCAGGATAAGGTTGCCAGACTTAGTCAATAAAAACAGACGATGCCCAGTTAAATTAGAATTTCGGATAGCCTAGCCGGTGTGGCTCAGTGGTTGAGCATGGACCCATGCACCGAGAGGTCGCCCGTTTGATTCCCGGTCAAGGCACATGCCTAGGTTGTGGGCCAAATCCCCAGTGGGGGGCATGCAAAAGGCTGCCAATCGATGTTCTCTCTCATCAATGTTTCTATCTCTAAATTCAATAAAGAAAAAAAAAATTTTTAATTGAATTTCAGATAAACAACTAATTATTTAATATACATAGGATGTGCCCTGGCCGGTTTGGCTCAGCGGTTAGAGCGTCGACCTGCGGTCCTGAGAGATCCAGGTTCGGTTCCCGCTAAGGGCGCGTACCGTGGTTGCAGTTTGTCCCCGGCCCTGGTCAGTCGTGCGGATGGCAGCCACTCGATGTGTTCCTTTCACGTCGAAGTTTCTCTCTCTCTCTGTTCCTCTCTCTCCCTCCCACTCTACCTGAACAAAAGATGGAAAAATGTCCTCAGGTGAGGATAAAAAAAATATATATGTATATATATATACACACACACACACATAGGATGTGTCATGCAATATTTGGGACGTACATTTGTTTATCTGTTATCAACTGGCAAGACTACACACCAGGGACAATCAGGACTTCCTATGAGATTACCTGGAGACATGCTTACCAGGCTAACCTACCCTTCCCCAGGTCCACATCACACAAAGACCTTTCTAGGCTATTCCAGAGGTCGGGTGGAGGCATTCCTTGGTGCACAAGTCCCATTCCTAAATGACTATGGCGGCAGGCTGGCTCCCATGACTTTGGAGGGGCATAAATGAGAATACTTCATACCACGTGGAGGAGACCCCACAATGTTCTGAGCCTATAGCAATAAATTCCCAAGATACCCAGCAAGAACATTAATAGGCACCCCTTCCCACAGTGCTGGGGTAAGTAGGCCAGAGCAAAACGTTATACGGGTCAATAAAAACCATTCCCCACAATGCCCTGCGGCAATTCTTCCCAGGATGCCTCAGGCCTGTAATGACCACCTTCCAAGGTGCTCTGCATTGAATCACTCCAAGTTTCCAAAATGCTTGCTAAGTGGAGGGTGTGTGACAAAAGGGACCGGTTCCCCGCAAGAAGCTAGGGTAAACCTTCCCAGAATGCACCAGGCCTGTATCGACTAGCGGACCGACTCCCACACGTTTAGGGCAGGGCGTCCTGTTTTTCCAGGATGTGCCCGGTTGGCACGGAGCCCCGTTGGGGGAGAAAAGGTAGCCTATGTCTCGCCCTCAGGCCATCACGGCCCAAGACCGCTGCCGGCTCCTCCGTGACTGGAGCCGTCACTCCCATCATGCAGTGGTGCCGTAGCGCCCGCTTCCCAGCATGCCCCGCGCACCTCATCCCGGACACTCACCGGCGAGGGCGGCCCCCGCTCCGGCTCAGCGGCAGCGGCAGAGGCGGCTGCGGCGGCTGCACGCCCGGGCTCGGCGCCTGCGCTACAAGTAGGGTAGGAAGGAGCGCGAGGGGCGTGAAGAGCCTAGGGCGCTTGCGCGCCGAGATGGACCATTCCTGGCGCACAGTGTGAAGAGGGGCTATCCGAGTAAGGCCGTCGTCGAGGCCCACGCAGGGGGTTCCGGGCTTTGCCCCTCGTTGTCCGGGTTTACTTGGTACAGTCCGCAGCCGGACTGAACAAGAACTGCAGCGCTCGCGCGTGCATGTGCGTAGCAGGAACGCGCTTTAAAGATGAGATGCGCTGGGGGAGGGGGAATTCCAGTTCGGCGGGGTTCTTAGACCTGAGGCCAGTTTATTTGCATAATCTTACCACGGGACAATGGGAGTCCTCGGACACCAAAAGGAGTGATTTGCATTTTCCCCGGAGAGGCCGTACTCCAGAGCGCAGTGATTAGCATATGTGGGCTGGGGGGCGCGCCTGAGCAAAGCGCGTGCGCAGTGGGACTGCGGACTAGTGTGAAGCAGGTATCCTTGGATTAGTGGGGATCAGTTTGCATCCTAAGAGGCGGCTCAAGGGCCGGGACCCTTACCAACCCTCACAATCCTCCATCCCCAACCAGGATAAATATTTACTGCTCTTTTATGTGTCAGGCCCTGTGCTAGCAGGCACTCTGGTTTCTTCATGACGCCTCAAATCAAAGGAAGGCGATCCACATCCACACATAATCAAGAACCACAACCCAGAATTAACAGACTTGGAAAGAGTGGAGGGTAGGAAGCTGTGAGGGTCAGAGGAGGTGCCTGCCCCAGCCTCAGAAGGCTTCCAGGAGTTGATGATCTTTAAGCCAAGGATTAATAGAAGCCAAATGGAATGAGAGTCACTCTGGCAGAGGAAACAGTTAAGGGCAGAGGTCTAGAGAAAAAAAATTTTTTTTAAGTAGTACATGATTTGATTGCGGAAGTGAAAACAGATAGTATGCCTGGAGAGGGGAAAGGCTCCTACAGGTGATGTTGATTTGAGTTCAGACTTTATGCTGAAGGTATTGTAGGTGTCCAGACTGCCTGGAAGTAATTCACATTCCAGTTTAAGACTCTCCAATGGGATCCCATTATGCTTAGAAAAAAAACCAAACTCTTTATCATGGTCTAGAGGGGATATACACATGGCCTGATCCTACATCTCTGACCTCACCTACCTACCTCTCTCTTTATCCCTTCCTGACTAATTCCTCTTCCCATCAAACACCTCAATCTTTATTATCTCAGGTCTTTGCCCTTGCTGTTCCCTGTGCCTGAAAATGCTTTTCCCTCTAATCTTCTAATAGCTGCTCTTGTGCTTACCATTCATATCTTGGCACAGATGTCAATCTGAGAGGTATTCCCTGTTTTTTTTCTAAAATAGCACCTCCATATTTGCTTTAGAGAAGTGAATGGGATTGTGGATAAGGCAGAATTGGCTGTGAGTTGGCTTTTGAAGCTGAGGTTAAGGATACATGAACTTCATTGTCCTGTTCTGCCTACGTTTTTGTGTTTGAAGTTTTCCATAATAAGTTAAAATAACATAGTACTCCACATCTCCTTCCTCTGCATTTTATCTTTTTTTTTTAATTTTTTTTTTTTATCCTCACCTGAAGACATTTTTGCATTTATCTTCAGATAGAGCGGGAGGAAGAGAGAGAAACATCGATGTGAGAGAGACACATCTAGTGGTTGCCACCCACACGATCCCAACCAGGCCCGGGGACAAACTGCAACCGAGGTACGTGCCCTTAGTGGGAACCGAACACAGGACTCTGGTCTGCAGGCCAACGCTCTAACCACTGAGAAACTGGCCAGGGCTGCATTTTATCTTAATGGCAGCCTGAAGTTAAGTTCTTTTTTCCTTGTGAAAGCTTCATGAGGGTAAAAGTGGAATCACCCTTTTTCATTTTGGGGCCTCAGTACTTGAATAGGATCATGTTTCAGATTAGTGCTAAGCTGTCTGGAACACCAAATATTTGCCTGTTTTATTCACCATAGCACCTCTAGACCTTTCAGCAGCACCTGGTACAAAGTAAGAGGTATATATATATATATATATATATAGTTAATCTTCACTTCAATTTTTTCTTTTTTCTTTTTTTTGGAGAGAGGAAGGGAGGGAAAGGAGGGAGAAGGGGAGAGAGAAAGAAAGAAAGAAATCAATTGACTGCCTCCTGCATGCACCCTGACCTGGGCCTGGGATCGAACCTGCAACCCAGGCACCTAGCCTTGACTGGGAATCAAACCCGAGACCCTTTGGTTCGCTGGCCGCTGCTCCAGCCACTGAACCACACTGGCCAGGGCTAATCTAAAATTAGAATCACTCCTCTGGCTGGTGTGGCTCACTGGTTGAGCATCGACCCATGCACCAAGAGGTCGCCAGTTCAGTTCCCCAGTCAGGGCACATGCCCAGGTTGTGGGCCCAATCCCCAGTGGATGGTTAGGGGGGCGTGCCGGAGGTGGCCAGTTGGTGTTCTCTCTCATTAATGTTTTTATCTCTCTCTCCTTCTCCTTTCCTCTCTCTAAAAATTAATAAAGGGAAAAAAATTAAAAATAAATAAAATTAGAATCACTCATTTAAAATTTAGAGAAATGAATGGAAGGCCTAGAGTACCAGGCTATGGGGCTTTGACTTGATCTAGAGGTGATAGGGAGATAAAGTAAGGTTCTGAGAAAGGCAGGATCAGGGTGAGATGTGACTAACTGAAAGCTGCCCTGGTGCCTGATGTCTGGGGTGGGGGTAAGTCGGGGGAAGGGTCCAGGTCAAGGTGTGGGGGTAGGGTAGCTCAGTCGTTACCAAAGAGATATGACTCTTATTTGGCTGAAGAAGTGTCTAGGAAAAAACAAACAAATCCTCTCTAGGAGGGTCAAGGTGCCATTGGTGAGGAAAAGACCTTCTCTTGGCCTATATGGTTCACCAGTGACTCCTCTCCCTCTCACCTCCCTTAGTGCAGTTTCCCTCCCAACATAGTGCAGCTCTGGGCAGAGGGACAGAACACACAACCACCCCAAACATGTGTTCTCTCCTCGGTTTAATGGTGGTTAGTGGGATTGCCAAACCCCCTTCCCATTCCCCTCCCTGCCCCATACAAAATGTTGTGTGTTGTTGTTGGTTTTTTTTAAAACAAGAAAAAGGGGGGCAAAAGCCAGGAATGGGGGAGGGGGGCATAATCTGATATTTTCATACAGATTTTTGATTTTTTTAATATATTATATATAAAACCATAGAGACCAACGCACCCCCCCCCCTTAAACTCCTTTCCCCCTCCCTGGGGGGCCTGGAGGAGAGATGGGGAAGGCCCCCCCAGGAGTGGGTGGACAGAGAGACAAATATAGGTGGGACAGATGGGAGGGAGGAGGTGGAGGGAAGGGAAGCTGGAACCTGGGGAAGGGGGATTGGAGAAAAGGGCCAGGGCTGTCTCCCTCCCCTCCTCCATCAAAGTTATGACACAAAGACACAGAATCCCTATTTCCACACCCTCCCCCCCTTTACCCCCACCGTGCAAACATGGCTTTGCAAAGAGGTGCCCAGAGCTCTGTGGAACTCCTACAATGGCTGGCATGAGGTCTAGGACCCCCAAAGAAATCTGTGTTTCCCTTCCCTGCCCACCCCACCCTTCCCAAAATCTGATCCCCTCCCCATAAGACCTGGTTCTGCAGCCTAGGGGCCCTAGTCTTCCCCCAGTTATATTCCCCCAACCCAATCCCTACCGCCCTCCCTGGACTTGGGGGATCTGGACCTTTGGCCCCTGCCCCCTGGGGGACCCAGACCTCTGGGACCTTGCTTCTGGCCCTTGCAGAGACCCAGGCATCTGACACCCCCATCCCTGCCCAAACGTCTGAGGTGTTAGTGGTGGGGGGAGATGCCCACCATCCCAGACTCTGGTAAATGTCTTTGCAGCTGGCAGTGGGGTGGACCCCAACCCAGGCCAGGCTCAGGCCTGGGGTAGAGATGGGGTCAGATGAAGAATTCTTCTTTCCTCTTGTGTCCGTCACTGCCATTGAGGAAGGCTTCTCTTGCTTCTCCCTGCTCATCCAAACCACTGGCCTCGTGGGTCAGATAGGAGCCTGAGTGGTGACAGACCCCCGGGCAGAGGACACATATATGTGGACCCAAGAGTTGGACAGAAATACAAGGGAAGAAGGAGACAGACAAGACAGGTATCAGACGAAGGATGAAGGAGAAACAGAACACAGGGAGAGGGAATCAAGACCGGGGAATAGCAAAATGGGCAGAGAAAGAGGTAAAGCAGAATTAGGAAGACGTCAAAATTTCACAGAAAGATCAACCCTTAACTGTTCTCTTGGTGATATCCCCTTACTCTGTTCCCAACGAATCCAGCAGTTAGGAAGACAAATTGTTTAATTCAAACCCACGGCCTTAATTCAGCTTCAGCGTTTCACCCCTTTTAGTCCTGGGCGAAAACACTGCCCCTTTTGGCCTCTAGTCCCGCTAGGTTTCGAATCCTGGGGTCTGGGCTCTGCCCTCTCTCAAACTTAGGCTGTAGGACCCGCCCCCTTACCAATCCCACCCCTCGCTAAATTCAGACTCTGCCCCACTCACCCTTCTGCCGTACTGAGCACCAGACCATGCCCACCAGCACACATATGATCAGAAACACCAGTAGTGCCAGGATGCCGCCCACAATGGCGTAGGGCACCGACGTCTGAGCCTCTACCACCGCACCCGGGTCTGCCAGAGAAAGGGGGCGCAGGACCAAATCATCAGAGGACGGTCCCAGCTCCGCCCTTTCCGCCCATCACCTCTAACCGCGCTCCTTTACGTGCCACCCCCCTCAAATTACTGCCACCTGGCTGGCCTTTCTCATGGCTTCCCTCTTTCCAGATGCTCCACTTCTTCAAGGACTGCGTGTTGGTTTGTACACTGCCCCACTGGCCCCTGAGCCATTTTAACACCTGCTCTGCCTCCTTTCCTCCCCCCCCCCCCCCCATTTCTTCTCCCATGGAACCTCAGGTCCAAGGCCATATCTTGTCTAAAACGCTCCCGGTATG